ATCCCTTAAATTTTTAAAGTTTTTCCTTTACTACTTTAAATTGTTACAGTTTAAGTTAATATTCAAAACAAACAAAAAAGGATTACCTTAACATTAAAAACAAGTCACCCAAGAAATCAAATCAAGTTTTACCTGAGGCTAAATTGTGAAAACTAGAATATCTTTTTGTACTTAAATACAAACCCTATCAACAGAAAACTGACAAATCAGTTTTCTTAAAATGTACACCCCTCCTTCAAAGAACAGTGTGCACTGACAAGAAAGCTGACTAAGGCCAACTCCTCACTTTAAATAGTTTTACAGAAATTAAAGAAAACTGAGTTCAAGTGATGGAGTGTCCTCATATGAACTGAGAAATCTAACTCCTGACTTTGATTTTTATTTAAGTAGTGGGTAAGAGAAATGAAAGGCATGATTGCAAGTTAGCTTAGGAATAGATAGGGTCAGTTGGCAGGGAATTTTTTTCTGTGGTTGAAACTGAAATAGTATTTCATTACTGGATTAGCTTTGGTCAGAGCAAACTGAAAATGACTAATATCATTCACCAGTCTACTATCATTAAAAAAGCAATGCTGTAAACTTAAGTTATGAATTGATACTTATAAAATAAAAGTTTAATTGACATTATAGAATAGAAGCTTAGTCACTTTGCAAGTCCTAGTATTTCTGAGATGTAGACTGGTAGCAACCATCTTAGAGGGCAATGGGAGTATAGTCATTGTGTGTGCTCAGCCAGGCACTCACAGGGTAGTTTGCTACAGTGCAGATGATGCATCTGCTGGGTACATTTTCTACTTAACTATGCTTAGCTATCTCCTGTAGAACAAGGTCCCTGGTCTTAAATTCCTGAGACAGGCAGTTTACTTTCTTGAAGCATGTTAAAGGACAGTGGCTTGTCCTTCTGATTTTGGCATAACACATATCTACCAGATGCCTTGGAGAGTCTGCATGATAGGAGCAAAGCAGAACTTGCTGGACAACACTTGATGTTGCTAACATTGAAAACATGACTTCTACATTTACCCTGTTTGGATTATATAATTAGTGGAGTTTGTGAGATTTTTAAAAATTGTAATTAGTACTTTATATTTACCTTTAAAATTTGTGTTTTAATTAACATGGGAGCTATTTTAAGCTATTTTGATCTAGATCACACACTGATACAATCGGAATTGCTTCTTCTATGCTAGAAACTGGCTCTGGGCCCTGTGCTTGCTGGGCAGCACTGTACCCCTGATCTGTGTCTTCAGCCCAATGTAGTCTGGGATTGAGTTCTCAGGTGTGTATGTCTCTTTGGGATCTGAGGAGAGAAGTGTCTAGATTGTAGCCTTCTTAATGAGCTATCCTCTGTAGATGCAGTGACACTGCAATGCTGGCATCTTTTCAAGGTGAATTTTAACACATAGGAAATACCTCTTGCACATTCAGTTTTGAAATTTATTAGTTCTTCCCAAATGTCTTCCCCCAAAGCCCCCAAATGACTTTTGTTTCAGCCACATGCTAAGCACAGTGGTGTTTATCTTTTTGGTAAAAGTTACTGCCTGAATATCTTCAAGTTCTGAAACTAAGTCTGTTGAAACAAGGTCCATAATGGATCTCTACTTTTTTATTGAGTTAAAAAGATCTTTAGGAGGATATCTGATTAAGAATTTTCATTTTATTTTTTGGAAAGATAATTTTTCTTCTTTTTCTCTGTATACTGGAGATTTTTTCCCAACATAATATTTTTATTGCTTCTTTGGGGATTTCACATCATAGACACTGTCACATTCACTTCTCAGTCCTCTCCTGTCCAGCCCCTGCCCCGCCCTGCTGACCTCCCTGCCAGCAAAATAGAAAAGAACAAGTTCATTTGTGTTATCTATATACTCAGTGGAGCATGGTCAGACTCTCAGTGGCCCGCCTCCCTTCAACAGAGCTGAGTTCTTCCCTACCCTGCTGGAAGCCATCTATTGTGGAGAGCTACTCTTTGTCCTATGGATCCCTTCTTCTATCTGGACTGCCTGCCTGGGCCTCAGTGGAAGAAGATGTGTTTAGTCCTGCTGAGACTGGATGTCCCAGGGCAGGGTGGTACCCAAAGGGGGCTTCTACTTTGAAGAGAAAGGGAAGAAGTAGTAGAGAGAGAGAGAAAAATATTTGTAAAGGTGGAACAGGGAGGAGGGGAGGGAGTGAAGGCTTTGATTGGAATGTAGAGTGAATAAATCAACTAATTAATGAAAAAAAGAAACCCTATGGTTCCATGGCTTTCTGTTTAGGCTGTTATTATTTCTTTTTTGTGTGTGAGGGGGTGGGGGGTTGGAGGGTAGGGGTTGTCACTGACATCTTCTGTGTTCCTCTTTCTGAACTGTGTGTTGATATCACTGCCAAAGTAGCTATAGATGCCAGGTGAGCATCCTGTCACTGAGCTGTATTACCTACATTCCTTACTTCTTAAAAGCTTCCCAGGCTGGGCTTGAATTCTCTCACTCTTGCGTCAGCCTCCAACTAGCTGCGACCACAGCATGTCTTACTAGGCCTAGCATCTTCCCTCCCTTCCTCTCCTCATCCCTTATTTTACTAACAATTTTAAAGATAGGTTTTCAGAATGTTCTTTATCAGCCACGAGTTTGAATTGCTAGAGCTACATGGGTATTCTAGCATAATTAAAACTGTAATCATAAATGACTGAGCAATACAGTATTTTTATAACTTTTCAAATTAATTTGCATGATATAGTAAGACTAATGTAGTAAAACTGACTAACCATGATGTTTTTAATTTTAAGATTCATCCCAGTGTGCTGCAAAATAAAATGACATTCTGTCTTACTCAGTTGATAAGGCTTCTTGCTCTCAGAAAGTTACTTTTGTTCAGTGGTTGCCTCTAGATAATGACATTTGAGAGTTTTAGAAAAGGGGTTTTATAATATTTGGTTGTTGGAAGTATATAAGAATTAAGAAACCATACAGGAATTGTAATAAAACAGTTTCAGAGGATTGCACAATTGTTTTTAATTTGGAATAAAGTGTGACAAGGCTCCCTAGGGGACCATTCAGGTGAGCTTGAAGGATTGGAAAGCTCGTTGGCAGGTTTACCTTATCTGGAAACATAGACCAGGACTCAAAAGGACATGGTATATTTCAGTGACTGAGTTTAGAACTCAGGATATCAGAGCTGACAGAAAAAGGTCTGGGAAAAGTCTGTTTGAGAGCTTTTGATGACTTACAGAATTTGAACTTGGTGCTGCATGGGTAGCTGGGAGATGGAGGGCCTGAAGGATTGTTAGTGTCCATCCAGCTTTGAGGGTTAGGTGCCACGTGGGCAGTGATGGATGCCACTGGCAAAGATGGGAACAAATGATGTGGAGGCAGGAGTGAAATGGGTGCACGTGCTGGTGGGGATGCTCAAGTTTCAGGCAGTGTGAAGAGTAACCTGATGGTTGTTTCTGTGGTATTGAGCAAGTTCTTATAAGTTGCCTGCCTGTGAGCACTCTATGCCATCCTCTCTTCTTTTCCAGCGTGGAGTTTGGTCTGAGCTACTTTATTTTATTCTCGTATGGCCTAGTGATTGGTGGCTGTAATAGTCATCTGTTGGATGAAGCTTGTGTACTTTTAATTGTGTTCCAAGAATGCTTAAGGCAGGGATTGTGGAAAACAATGTTGATGGGCCTTCCAGCTGTCCAGAGTCTGTGCTGACAGGACACGCGCTGTGCTTAGCCTTGAGCCCAAAGTTACTTTCATCGTGAGAAATGGTTTATTGTTCAGTTTTCCAACATTTTAAAAATTCTTGTCTGTTGAATTATGATGCACAAATTGTGACCACTTCGTGCAAGATTACAGCCTCTTTGAGATGCTTTCTGGAATTCTTAAGAATTCTCCTGCAGACACAGTCACAGTTTGCTCTAGCATATTTGGCTCATAAAAATTGCAAGATAAGACTTTCGGGACATTATCTCCCCAAAACAGTTTCTTTCAGAATAATGGCATAGAAAGCCTTTTAAGGAAAGTCTGTGCAGTTCTGGCACTTTTATAGTTTTGTATCTTGAGTATTTTTTTTTTTTTTTTTGCTTTTGCTTACAAGAAGTAAATTGTTTATCTGGCTTCTTTGGGATTAAAGCCCAGGCAGGTACCATCACACCTGGCTAAGACGAAATTATGGTAATTTTATTTTTCTCTCTTTAGATCTCTGTGCTTTTTTATTTTTACTTTTGAAATTATAACATAATTGTATTTCTCCTCTTTCCTCCTTCCTCCCTCCTTTGTCCCCTCTCTGTTCTCCCTCAAATGTGTGACCTCTTTTTTCATTAGATATTATTGCATGTCTATACAGAGGTGTATATACACATGTATTTCTAAATATAACCTGCTCGTTGACAGGCTTATTTAAGACACTTTGTCAAAGTGATAGCCACGTCAGAATTGAATAAACAGGTCTGCAGACAGTAAGGCTTGTTTTTGTCTCAGTTGTTAACGGTAGTTTTAGTAGGAAACGTTTATGTATCAAAATTTGAGAGTTTCATTTTTTCCTATTATAGATATTAAAAGCCTTTGCCAGGTTATGTGGATTCCAAATGTGTATGTTTTAAATTAGCTACTAACATTAAAAATTTCTGAGCTTTTGGTGTTGTATATAAACCAGTGTTTCCAAAGGACAGTTTAGAAAGAAGTTGGTAAGAATAAAGACTCTTGCAGGAAGTGTGCTAGAGTGGGCTGGCCTGGGCTGGGCTGTGCGCTTGGCTGTGCTTAGTTCTCAGCAGTTAGCTGAGTGTGCAGTAGAAGGATAATCTGTAGCAGCCTCTGCAGTACCTTCCAGTGTTAAGTGATACATTATGTCTTTCTTCAGAAAGTTGAGTTCCTTCAAGACTTGTAATAATTCCAAAATTAAACCAAACCCCAACAATTATAATTTGTAACAAGTGAAAACAGATTACTGTTAAAAAGGTTATATAGGGATCTATTTAAAAAGATAATATAGAAGCTACTAATATTTCCCTTTGTACAATTAAACATGTTTTCTTCTAGTCCAAGTGGTAAGAAGTTCAGAAGTAAACCTCAGCTGGCAAGATACCTGGGAAATGCTGTTGACCTTAGCAGTTTTGACTTCAGAACTGGCAAGATGATGCCTAGTAAATTACAGAAGAACAAGCAGCGACTCCGGAATGATCCCCTCAATCAGAACAAGGTTGGTAAATGTACTTGCAGCACTGACATGCACTGCCTAGGCTCTCCACACGTACTTCATGTGTGATTGGGTTGTTGAGATCTTGGTTGTCTGAGTGGCTGTCTCCACTATAGAGCCTTTTAAAACTTACAAGTGGGATTTAATATTTGGAAGTGCTTGCATAGGAAAAGTATAAGTAATTATGCATAGTAAAAAACAATATTTAAGTGTGTCACTAGGCCAACATGGACACCACACTTTGTGATTTTCTTTTTTTTTCTTTTAGGTTTTTTTTTTTTATTTGTTTGTTTGTTTGTTTTTTCCCCCTGTGTGTAGCCCTGGCTATTCTGAAACTCACTCTGTAGACCAGACTGGCCTGTAATTCAAAGATATCCCTGCTTTGGCCTCCCAAGTGCTGGGATTAAAGGCATGCACCACCACCATCTATCAGGCTTGTGGTCTTCTTAAAATATTTTTTTTCAATTTCCTGAAAAGAGGACATTGCCATGTAGCACATAGTTGCACAGTCAGTTCAGAAGCTGTGCCTTGGACGGTGGTGGTGACATCCCTGTTCTCGTCAGACTTTTTCACTAGCCCTTAATTTTCTTGAGCTCTCCTTGGTTGACTGCTCTATAGCAATATAAATAAGTCACGTTTGAATATGCTAATTTAATTTGATTAAAGCTTTAGAATCTTTTTTTTTTTTTTTTTAAAAAAAGCTTCTGCTCATCCGAGGACAACTGACCGTGTATGACAACTCACAGCTAACTCATTGCCTCACATGGTTCTTCTAGGTATGTTCTCACCTTAGTACTGAGACAGGAGCTGAGGTAGAAGTCACTTCAGGTGTCTCAGTGATTTCAATGACTTTGTTATCAGTGTAAAAGGTTTTCATTTCTATACATTTTAGGAGTCTGTTTGAGTGTTACCATCAGCACTCTTGATCACTCTTGTGAAAATGCAGGGTGAAAAGTGGAGGCATTTCTTAGGATCTGACTGCTGTGGCCTGGCCAGACCCTCGGGTGCAGCAGTCATTCAGGAAGCAGGCTGTGGATTCAGGCAGGCGTGGGCTTGGTGAACTGGCTGTGCTGAGTATTAGATGCTTCAGTCATACACAACTTTCTTAGCCTCTGAAGGCCTGAGGCCTTTTGTAGAATTGGGTAATAAAACTCTCATAGCTTTATCGTGAAAAAACATAGTGGGAATTTACATAAAAACATTTAGCAAATTTTGACCCATGCTATTTTCCCTTCCCCCCTCCCGCCCCTCAAACTGCCCTTTCCTTCTTTAAGAGGCAGCCACCTTTCTGAGCACCAAGCCATCCTGCTTTAACAAGGTGGCCAATGTAGTCTGGCTCAAGCTCCTTTCCTCCTCATCTTTTTTGTTTGTTTTTGTTTAGAATATACAAATGCACACACACACCACATTCATGTGTGTAGAATATATACATGTATATGACAATTAAAGTTTTCTAAAACTGCCACTTTAAAACTCTAGTCACAGTGCTGCCTGCATAGCTACAGAAGGACTTAAATATTTATGAAATGAAGAGAATGCTTTTAAATTACCCTGCTGTTCCCCGAATCACAGTTTAGCCTCATTTAATGTAATTTGAAGCTTTCCGTCCTGACAGTTATGGTTCATTAAAATCCAAACACTAATTGGTCTCTAGTTTGTGTGCACCTCTCTGCTCTAGCCGCTCTGGACCGCTCTTCACCCTGCAGCATGGCATGCGCTTGCTTTCAGGATCTGCTTGCTTCTGTGCTGTTTCCTCTGCTTGGAATGTGCTTCCCCTCCCCTCACCTGGTGACCTCCTCAGCTGAGGCTCAGCAAAATTGCCTGCATATCTGGGAACCATGTCCCTCCTTCTATGATGATCCTGTGTTTGTGGTTGTGTTTCAGCTAGACTGTGAGCTCCATGAGAGCAAGGACTCTCTTCGTTTTATTTTTGCTTTTGCTTTTGTTTTGTATAGTTGCCGCAAACCTTGCATGTAGTAGCCTATTAAATAAATACTGCTTTACTTTCCGTCTGATTTGAGAAGGGTGTAGTGGGAATAAATGCTTGTTCAATAAATTCGCACAACACACGTGTGCAAGTGCCTGTTGTTTTCATTGTTTTCTGACTGTATGAAGTTTGTGCTGCCTGCTCTTACTTTGACCTGATTTTTGTTTTAGGTAAGTAACCTCAACAAGAATGCTTGCTTTGGGAGTAACACTAGCATTACAAGCAGAAAAATAGTTGTGGTAAAGTTAGCTAAATGAAGTTGTTTTTCATGACGGTACTGAATAAAGAAAACTGGAAACTGTCAAATGGCTGACAGGAATCTATCTTTATGTAGTAAACTTGGTCAAAGTCAGTTATTCATTGGGATTTTTTTTCAAGTTTTTTAAAAAAGTTTTTCTTCCTAGAACTGGGGGTATAGTCAACAAGTAAGGTTTTAAACAGGATTGACCAACTACAAGTTGATCTTGATGTATGTCTTCTATATTATTACTAATGAATGCTATTTTCAAGTGTGATTAGAAAGACCCATTTGAAGATCTTTGAGAGTAGTTTTTAATCATATTCCAGTGGGTGGGTTGGGTGGAGTGGGCCATTGCCTTTCGATTAACACACTGCAGTTTTTGTACTTGTTTTTTTTTTTCTCAAATTTAGTCTTAATCTCACCCCCAAAGTTGATTGCATTCTTGATTTAATTACACTTTACTGACTTTTCTTGCTGCTGCTATAATTATTTGCAGGCAACCCCATCTCTCAAGGTGATAAAATAGATCTGAAATACCAAGTAGGTTACTGAAGATTTCACTAGGGTTAATGGGAGCAGGTTGTTCAGAGTAAAATGAAAGTGACCACATGAGTGTGGTGCAGTCATAGCAGTTTGATCACAGTGGAGCATTCTGGGATTGGATTCTATTAGCTTTAGCCACACATGTGGCCAATATGTAGCTGTATATGCCTGGTATTATTGGACAGTATAGTTCTAGAATGAAAAGGCAAAATCTTAGCTTCAAATACAATTTTTGTGTGTGTGTGTGTGTGCTCGTACCACACACATTTAGACTTTTAAGAGATATTTCAAGGTTTCAGAGATAGGATTTGACATTTTAAGGAGGCAATAGAGACAAGATGGTAATTTTGAGTGGGTGAGATGGCTAAGCAGTTGAAGGCCCTTGCTGCCAAGTCTGATGATATGAGTTCCATTCCGATGACCCATGTAAAGATGGAGAGAGAGGTCTCACACACACATACACACACACATGCGTGCGCGCGCACACACACACACTGAAGGTGGGAGGGAGGTTGGGAGGAGAGAGTAAATATGAAAAAATTAAAACTCCGATAACTAGGATGAGCTCCATTAGGTTGTGAATGCAGAGCATGTTTAGGAAACTTGAAACTTGCTTTTGTTAAAAAGTCTACACTAAACTGAATTCTTTGTTTCTTATTTTAATACTACAATATTAATGCAGTATCATAATGAAGCTACAAAACTTAAAATGCAGATGTCCTGATGTTGATATGGCCTGTGATAATATTTTGCAAGTTGCTTACAATAAACATTGTATGGAACAAGTCTTTCTGAATTGAACTTGACAGCACTACCACAACCTTAGAAGGACACACCTCTGTGACTGTTCCGTTCCTTTGGGTGAGGTCAGGTCTATGTCAGATTTACCATTCTTTGTTTTTCATGGTTTATCTCATGTAATATGTATAGTCAGTATGTCATTGGTCATACAGGTGTAAAATTGGATATGTAAGACTGACTGTATCCTAGATTTACAGACACACGCTGAAGATACTTGTTTCAATTATCCTCACAAAATAATAAAAAATACATTTTATATTAGTATAATTTGGAGGCAATTACTGTATAGTGTGAAAAACTCATAAGTTAGTGGGTGGTTTGCCTTTGGGTGTAGATAGTATGTATGCAGTATGGAGAAGAACCAAGTATGCAGAATTGGAAACGGGCTGAAGCTGGAAGTAGGCATAGTGCTGCTGGCTGGGCACTTTTAGATCAGACATTAGTGGCCCTAAATTAATGCTGTAGCAGGAGGCCTGAAAAGGAGAGAATCGAGAGAAATAAGGAGATTTAAGTACCTGCTGCTCACGGGGAAAGAAAATTGATGCTCTCTAAAATTGTGGCTTTGGTCACTGCTGTAGCTTGGGTATAGTTTATCTCCTAGAAGTTCTTTGTCTGGAGATGTGGCCCTCAGAACTGTGGTTTTGAAGTGGATGAACTGTTGATGGGGAGGCCCAGTGGAAAGTGATTAGTCATAGGGTTCCACCTTTATAATGGATTATTGCCACCCTTGTGGAGCAGTGTGGTTTTTCCAGGCATTCCTATAGCAGTGGGTTGTTAGAAAAACAACCTGTTCTCTTGCTTCTCTGTTTGCATAAACTGTCCCTTCTGCTTGTAGACTGCTGCTCTGACCTGCTTTGGTAGTCAAGGGCTCCTCACCAGGATGCTGGCACCATGCTGTCTAGCTAAATAAAGCCCAAAGTTGCCTGAGCCCTGGGTATTTTGCTTACCAACAAGCTGAATCTTTGTGGAAATAGGTAGGGCAGCTGTTGAAGGGTTGACCAGAGGAAGATAAAATTTTATTGAGTTTGACATTTTAATTACATTTCTTTTTGAGACAGGGTGTTTCTACATAACTTTCACTGCCCTGGGACTACAGACCAGGCTAGCCTTGAACACACAGAGATCCTTTTGCCTCTGATTACTGGGTACTAAGATTAAAGGTAGCAAATATCAGCATGTGAAGCTTTAATTAGCTTCTGAGCACTAGGTTTTGTGGAGACAGAAGCCAGACTGAATTGTAACATGAAAGATAAAATTGGTCATTGATGTTTACAAAAAGATAAAGAGAGTACTTTCTGTTGGTTTGTGGTGAGGTATGGGGGAAGGGGATGTCTCAGCAGGCCCATGCTGAGGCATCTCTTCCCCCCTGAGGGGCCAGCCACACCTGTATAGTATAGAGTTTATTCAGGGCATGGGGAGGGGAACCAGGAG